TCATATCCTTCATAAAGATCCACAATCCGCTTGATATCTGGGATGTCGAAGACTATCAAAAGTCACAAGTCAAAACTTATTATGGTATTGTCCTCATGACACTTAATATAATTATCCTTTATCCTTATTACACGTATACTATCTCTAGTGCTAATTGTATTATCGGCTAACTTGACCCGAGTCAAAGGACCACCAATGTTTACATTAAACTTGGCGTTCGCTTCCGCACCACGGCCGGTCACTTGCCGTTAGATTTGCGATGAACTTGCTGTACTCACACTTTTCCGGTCGATTGTGAAACCCGTACGGGAGAGTTCGCAGTCCCCATGACAAGTGCTGAACAGAAACGTATCCGGTAGGGGGCTAAGGGGTCTATAACCTTCCCTATTGACCGTGTTTATGTAAGCCATCTATAGGTATCACTAATACCATTTGAATGTTGAATTTAATTATTGCATTTGTGTTTAACTTCTAAATTAGAAAAGTGTATAACTAATTGTTTTCCATTGATTGGCTCATTTATTTTTAAGAATTCGGTTATAAACTTATTGCTAATTCAAATATTATTATAGTAATGTACGCCCTGTTAACTGAAAATGAATTTATATATTATATAAAATACATAACATTATTGTCACAAAGAAGAAAATAATTGTTTAATTTTATCAGATACACGAAGGCTACTGGCCTTCTACTGGCTACTGGGTCTTATAATGTTAAACAATATATTATATGTTACAACTTCAAATTTTACCGAAATTCATAAAAAATAAATATAAAAAAAATTGACATTTCAAAATATATTTAGTCGAACTTTTCCCATTCGCTACCAATGATATTTTATAAATGTGTACAGATTTAAAATTAAAAAAAAATAAATGTGTGTTCTAAATTCCAAAATTACACCTACTACAGTGGCATGTTGGCTTTTAAATTACCATAGGAACAAATATAAATATTATGCAATGACTACATATATGTTACTATTGGATTTTATTGTAATATTATATTCACAATAGTTTTTTATTATCATTTGAAACCTAAACATTTCGATTTATATAATAAATATACATATAATTTCGAAAGCACCAAGAAAACAATAAAAATGGCTGGATACAACTACCTCAACATTTTTCCTGAGTTGAATAAGCTCTCCCAAAACCTGGAGGCGAAAACTGTTAAAAGATATACTTCGAACATTAATCAAGTAATTATTTGTTTCATCGTCAGTTTTCAAATTATAAAAGTACATATCGTACCTGTTTAATGGTACTTTTTGAAATCTGATTGCAAATGTGTTTAAATTATCGACAAAATCTTAAAAATCCAAAAAATGATATACTTTTTTTTCAGGCATTCACCGTTTCAATTATCGGCAAGAAATTTGATAACGGTAAAGTGGTTAATGTTGCAAACGCCAAAAGTTTTTGTAAGAAGATAATCATCGATACGGGAGTTCATATCGAAATCAGCACCATTCATATCGAAATC